TGTTAAGTACATTCAAAAATACTTCAATATTATATTAAACGCAATATAAATGACAAAATCAATAAACGTAATTCCCAAAAAATAATATAACAAATACAGCAATAAGAAAACAATATCGGGATATTGCGAAGTAACTACATCACTATGCTTGTAAGCATATTAAAAGTTAGTTTCAACCAAATTTAAGAGAATAAAGTTTTCTTGAAATTTTTTAACACGCAACAAAAACGTGTGATTTGATATAAATTAAAAATTTGCATTCTCGTCCGTATGTACTGTACGGCTTAGCTATTTCTACATCGATAAAAAGAAATGGCCACTTTCTTATTCAATGTATGTAAAATTATGTCTATTACGGCGTAAAGTTACTTGAACTGGCGAATTGATAAGTAAATAGCAGTTTTCGGAAGCTATTTATACGTATAGTGATGCGCCTGCGAGCGTACTTAATAATTCATGAAACCTCCGCAATTTCTTTTTGTGCACGGGCAATTGTGAAACCGCATGTGTAGCTTTTTATAACATGAAACGATCGGTATATTTCTCAAATGCCTCTGTCTCTGAGAAAGCTACTCCACCTAGGACAAAAGTCTCTGCCCTGAACGCGCGGCTTATTACGTAACCATTCCTCTATATATTGACAAGGGCACAGAGCGGACGCTAAGTGACGTGGCGAAGAAGGATTTCCACCCTCCTCGTCAACTGTCCAATCCAAACGTCGACGTAGGTAATCCTTCGCCCAACGTTGCACATAACGGCAGAATACTTGTTCGTTTTTACCCTGGTAGTTTAATATAATGCACAACAAAACATTTAATATAACTTGCTGCAGTAACGTCAGCAACGTCAAATTTCGCATACAAAGCGAATTTATATAGCAACTCATAAAACTCATATTGAAGAGCTAAAAATGCTAACGTTGCATTGAATTTTTTTCTACATTCTGTATCTTTTTTACTTAAAACAAAACAAGCACGCTTTTTAGAGGAAAAAGACTAATGTAAAAAACACAAACCAAAAAGGACGGAAAAGTAAAATACTACACTTTTTGCCTTAATTATTTCACACATCGTCAATTTACGAATGAAGGAAAGGCGCTTTTACATTTAGCTCCTCAATATCTAGCTCACTGAATAAAATATTTAAAATATCAATGTAAAATAAAATTAATAATAATGAAAAAAATAAATTATAAATCTAAACGAATAAAGAAAATTTTTTTAATTGAAATAAAATCGTGAGAACTTTAAACATAGAGATGTAAAAAGTAAACAAAAAAATTAGTGAGATCACGCGGTTTACCTGTTTACGAGAGATTCTTGTGGTGGTGCTGCCTTGTATAACAATGTCACCGTCGTCAATGTCCATACGCTGCTGCAATTCTCGTTGTCGACTTAAATCGCTTGCATCATCGCCACCAATTACTCTACCTTCGCGTTCTTCCCGTTCTATTACTTCCTGCAGCTTTTTCTGCCACAAAGCAAGCCATTATATTAGTCTCTTGCAGATATACGTAAATAGTTAACGTATTACAATAAAAGAAAATAGAGTCTCGCTTCGTGTTTACACGAATATTTGTCTAAAAAAAAAAGACTTCTCTTGTGCCATTTTATATATTACTTTAAAAAAATAAACGACATCCGAATTACATCCCAATAAAAACTTCACTTACAACGCAATCCGTGGTATCAAAGTATATGAAACACAGGTTGACTTTGTGGCAGGAGATCTTCCCTCTGTCGTCCAATCCCAGTAATATTTTATGCCTTAATAAATGTTTGTTAACTTGAGCCATACATTTCTCGAGGTTGTGATTGAGCTTGATCTTGATGAACATGCAGAAGAATATTGCAGCCGCGTTCAGGATTAACCACATAACACCAAGCCCGAACAAAGTGAGGCCAGTCACGCCGGAGAACAATAAACCAAGCAGCACAATGAAGGCGGTGAATATCCATAGGACGAGAATTCTCTTGTAGCATATGTTGTACATATTGAAGCGTACGTCGTTCACAAGCAGTTCCATTATGTGAACGTAATCTTCCACTGTAAGCTGCAATATATATCTATTTCATTAGACTGCTGATCATTTTATCCCTTTAAATACATACATAAGAAAGAAAAAAGGCTACTTCTGTTAATTACTTTAATATTTCAAACACGTCTTAAACGTACACAGAGCATTTTAAATGCAAATCGAAGCTTGTCCCATAAAATCTATAAAAATTATGCCGAAATGTTTATTCGATATTACAGGAAAGAAAATTTTCTATTAATAAAAATAAAATCACATGATATAAATGGGTAATATATGATAAATTGCAGTGCCAAATGCGCGCCATCGGAGAGGAAAAAAAGAGATACGATAAATTATACGTACGGTTAAACCTTGTGCCATCAATTCCTCCGGCACTAATTCCGGTCTGAATTTGGCCGGGGTAATCCATGGCCACTTGGTATTTACTGGCAGGAGGGTAACGATGGTGTCGCCATTGGCAAAACCCTGTCTAATGTTTCCGATCGACGTGCTGATGACGTTGCTCGGCGCGTTTCTCCCGTTGGACACGTCCCTCAGATCGATGGTCTTGAGAGAAGCGCTCTTGACTGCGTCCGGCGTTCGAACGTCGGACGGTAATTTAAGGGAGTCCGGCGTCGAGTCGGACGTCATCGAACGACTTAAACCTGATCTATCTAAGTTAATCTGGACGGATTCGGTTGCTATCACAGCACCTCTGTACTCATTGGTTTTCTTATCGTTAATATCAGGCGGGTCGAGACCCTTGCCGATCTTCTCGACCTGCACGGTAACCGACTCGGGCTTTATCACGGCGGGTGCGCTGCTGCCGTTGCCGGCTTTCCTCTCGGCGTTGCAGGTAGCCTTCTTCGAGTCTGCCTCTTCCTCAAATTGGACCCAGTTCTCCATATTCGTGGCCACATCGCAGGACTTGGCTGTTACGTCGGAGGAATTAGCCGCTACGTCGGAGGAATTAGCTGCCGCGGCCGCATTGTCAGTTGTATCTTCGGAGCTCATGGCTACAAAAAAAATTACGTACGTAAGAATTTCATCAGATTATATATCATTTGCTTGATTTGCTTATCACATAGAGTCATAAATTTTAGAAAAAGTGAAAGGTAATCTGGACTCCCGAAATATAAATTCAAAATATATAAATGGGCTGATGAAAGTCGGCGCAGTAATTAAGTGCGAAAATTGCTTTGGATGTCTAAAAAAAATTTTTTAAATATTATTTATAAAATACAAGACTGGCGCAAGTGCATATATAAATGACGAAATATTTATCATTAGATGCGACCGGAGGTCCGATGAAGACCCGCTACTTCGTACTCTTTTAATTTTCGGGCTCCTTGGCTCCTCATTAGCGGCGCGTTTAATCGGCACTCGTCGGCACTAATCGGCACGCACACGCATCGCCGATTTCGCTCCGCGCTAAAAGGGAGTGTCCCCGGACGTGGAATATCCCGAGACCCGTGAGGTCTGTCACTCTCACGTGTGAACGTCACGAGGATACCTTACGGGAGATCGGCCCGATCTCGAACGCGATCGGGATCGATCGGGATGATCGACCTCGGACTGATAATGACTGATAAGCGCCGCGGCGGCACTCGCGGAACGCGGAAGATTCCCGGTCGCGGTCGCGTCAGAGACCACGATGTGCGTTTCGCGCGGCTCGGACGGAAATCTCCGCGCGTCCGTCCGTCCGTCCGAGTCGCACCTAAAAATCGAGGAGCACCCGTTGAACGAGCTGAATCGTCCGCGGCGGTGGAGGAGAAGGAGATCGAGAATCTGGCGCGAGCCAGGAACAAGAACCGGAGCGAGACGCAGCTGCGGAATCGTGCGCGCCGCACCGGATAAACGTACCTGCTGCGATACGGCCTGTCTCATGCCCGCGCGAGCCGAAGAGGTGCGCGACGAATCACGAAATCAAGGTGTACGACATCGGACGACGCGGCTGGGCGATGGCAGGAAACGCGGGGGCGGGAGGGGGTGGAGAGGGACGTCGCGGTGGTGTAACGCGAGGTGATGGTGGGACTCTGGTGGGAGTCTCGCGGGGCGGGCATAGGCGCGACCACGGAACGTGCACGTATGTACACACCGTATACGTGCGTGTACGCGCATGCACCTGTGCGTGCGTGCGGCACGCGCGCGCGCGCGCGCACCTGTGCGCGATCGTCCGCGTCGATCACACGAATTCGCAAACAGCGCGCCTTCTCTCGTTTGATCTCTCTCGAATTTATAATTGCGAATATTGATTTTATGTCTCTCGATCCTCGCGTCGTCCTCGAGCCCTTCCGCGTGAAATCTCTGGATCGGGCCTCCGAAGTCCGAGGCCACCACCTGTTTATATCGTATTCTTGCGCGCCTGATGTGTTGCGATTATTTGCGTTCCGATTATCGTGACGTTATATGTATCTAGTCGGAGTTTCGTATCAACACGTAACATATGATTATATTTACATCTGATTATGCGCGCTCTAATGCGTCTCGAAATTATATGTATGTATACACCTGCACATTGCACCTGTTCTCCGTTCATCGATCATTCGAACGACCGCGTACATCCAATGCATAATAAATTAACAATAAATCAAGATACGAAAATAGACGAAGTGGGGTCGATTGATCTAATTTCTCAATTATCCATTGAAATTATAATTTAATTTTAGATTCTGACGGAATCTGGGTCGCCTACGCGAAAAAATATAGCGCGAACGCTTATCAGCGACCACCTGATAACCTATCGGGTTTTTGCGTCAAGTCTGTTCATTTCACTCGCACTCTTCGTCCTCGCAATAAAAAATACACGTAAAATCGAACACACTTATATCACATAATTATATATGGACGAGTTTGACAAAATTAAAAATTCATTCATAATTTATCAATATTAAGTTTATTATTAATGTGGATAGAATTATCGATCTTTTTGTTGTTTTATAAATATATGGAGATTAAAGATGACGAGCTAAAAACTTTAAACTAATCTTATCTTGTCTCTCAAATTAATCCCAGCTGAATTATATTATAATTAATTCCCTGATCTAATTTTTTTTCCATATATGCTACTCAAAGTTACTCCATAGATTTCTCAAAGTTAACAATTCTATTCACAATGGTTGCACATTTGACAATCTAATTTGCGATAAAATTAATTAGAATCTACAATGGAGCAGATGGAAAGTTCCCAGCAGGAATTTTAAAATTAAGTTTAAAATCTTCGAAGGAGAGAGCAGTACAGAACGAAGTGCAGCTTTAAAAGTGCAGATTCTTCCCAGTTGCTAGACTTACTAGTGATCAGCTGATACTATGTTTACGATGTGTTGACACGAAGTCTGATTGTCAAAATGTATCGCCTGAATTCGGTGTCTCACATATCGAGATGCGTCCTATCAAATATTAATTTCATCCGCTCGGCAGCGAATACTCGACGTAATGTACACGTTTGTAAATATGCTTTTGTTAAATCCCCACGACTTGCCGTGAGGATGGAAAGATATCGTTTCAACGATAGGCACAAGTCGCAGGAGAGAAGATCCAGGATACTCCTCGCCGTATCCTTGCCCACTTTAATTTACAATTATCTCTTTGATATCGAGGATTCCGACGAGGAAGTCCCGGAAGTCATTATAACGATCAAACGGTCTATATTGTTGTTACAGGTTAAGTATTAAAACTATCATATGTGTTTAATTGATATTTTTGTTAAAATTAGTATTTTAAATATATATATATATGTTTATATATATATATATATGTTAAATGATGAAATGACATTTTATTCCAATCTCGTACAGTTTCAGCAACATTTGCTTTCCCTTTGTAGAAGGGAGAATACGACAAGGCAGAGCAGATGCTGCACGTAGCGTTGCGCCAAGCACAAACCATACAGCATTACGACGCTGTCACATACATCTATGACGTAATGGCGAATCTTGCTTTCGATACCGGGAAGTATCGCAAAGCGGAGAACCTGTTCGTGTCAGTTTTGCAAAGGCTGATGTCGAATGGCGCCACGGAGGATGACATGCGAGTCATCCATATAAGCCTGAAGATGGCTAAAGTGTTTGAACATCTAAATGAGCCAAAGTAAGCAATCCAACTTCATAAAGCAAGGTATTCAATGCAGAATTAAAGAATTATATTCTCAAAGATCACATATAGGATACAAAAATTTTTTAAAAATTTAATTATTTGGCTTCATGCTCACGTTATACTTCTAATTCTTTCTTTTTGTTACATGCACATTATAGTATATTATATATTATAATAAGATATACATTTGTTTATTTTAGAAAAGCCGAGCAAGGCTACAAATTTTGTATGGATAATTTAAAATCGCACGTTGAAAAAGATCCTGACAATGAAGACGCTGTGATGCTGCAGGGTATGACCTTTGATTGGTACGCACAAATGTTACTCTCACAGTCTCGACATACCGAAGCTTTGAACTATTTTCTTCAGGCCTATAATATATGTAAAAAGATAAATGGCGAGGAGCACGAACAGACTGTGATTCTGCTCAATGATTTGGGAACGATTTATTGTATGCAAGGAGAATATGACGAAGCTATTAAATACTTGTCCGCTGCAGCAAGAATAGGTGATCAGTATTAATGAGTATTGATATACTTACAACTTTGATAATAATTTAATTAAAATAATACGTAATGTGCTATGTAATGCGTTCACAGGAGAAAACTTACCCGACATGGTTGACTTGGGCTCGATTCACGTGAATTTAGGAAATGTGTATCTGAAAAAAGGTTTATACGACGAAGCCAAAAAATCTTGTCAACAAGGAAGAAAAATAGCTAAAAGTAGAGACGACAGTGATTCTTTGTTAGAAGCCGTTGAATGCCTCAAGGAAGTAAAGAGATTAATGTCGTTGTGAATCCTTGTGATTATCTCAGACAACTTCACTGTTAAAAATATGTATATTTAAACGGAATGGCATCTGTAAATATATGTAGAAAAATATTTAAAGACTTTAAATGATCGTAGTAAAGGAGTGTAACAAAAATACAATTTTTTAAATAAAATAAGCTATTTATTATTTTATTTGATAATCAATGGATTTCAACTAATTATTGATGTAAGAAGCGCACATGTTTTGTTTTTGGAATGTTATGATTTGAATATATTGTATATGTCTTTTTGATATTATCTTGTCCGTCTTCAATTCTTACATTAGATTTCTTATATTGCGTCACAATGAGCATATTAAAACTTTTTATTTGTAATTCCCATTGTTAAGTTAGAAACTGTAATATAAAATGTTAGATAATATTTACATAATGATACAAATAATAATGAGAATGTACAATATGTAATACCCCAAAATATTTGTACAATACAAATTTTGTGTGCAAATGTATAATTTTCTGACAGAATATTTTCGAAAGCTTTTGCAATGGCTGCCATTTTGATTATAGATTGTATTTACAATTATCTTAAACAAAATATTTCAGTCTAACAATAAAGAATATCAATTTGATAGCACCAATATATATTCAGTAAAGTCAGTCATAATCTTTTCATTTTAGATAAACATTTTTACAGCAGTTTTATATAGTTTATGTGAATTTTTATATTTTATCTATGTCTTATTGTAAACTCAAAAGCATTAAATTAAGCTATGTTCATAGATGCACAGCTGTTTGTCATTCATTATGTGCCATTTGGGCCCATTTATATCTATTTGCAAGTATATCACATTACATTATTATTGAAAAATAATTGAAGAAGTACTTAGTATTAATTTCTTTTGAAAATAGAGAAAGTATTATTTTCTCTCTCCCTTATCAAAAATAAATAATCGTGCAGAAAATATATTTAGGCTTTATTATAAATAGAAAGACTTATTATAAAATCATGAGAATAAATTTATTGTATAAGTAATGAGTGATAAAGAGTTACTAGTTAACTAATCGCTTTTATTCAAACCTATGCGCACATCAAACGTTTGCCGTCTCATTTAAGTTATATTTGTCTATAATTTTAAAAAGTACCCATTATTTCATCCAAATATTTGGGCTTAGAGATAGTATCTTTTTAGGCACTCCAAATATAAAGATAAGCAAATTAAGTACTTCTTCGGATTACATAATTTAAGATAAACTTAATGCATGTAGTTATACATTTCAGACTTATCTTGACAATAATCGTGTATAATTGTACGTAAAATTAAAATATAATTTCTAACAAACTATTTATCGAATAGTCTCACACGCGAACTTTTTTCTCTAAGAGAAGAAAACCTGCTGGGTCTGCACGTCCTCGAGGAGGGGACCTGTATATCGTTTTCATCCACTGGGTAAACCCCTATGGTCCTGTCCATGCTGCTTGGTTGACGTCCAAGTAACACTGGTAGTATTTGTAGTATTAGATAGTATACCTGGACGCCCCAAAGACTTAAAAAAAATCTTGAATAAATCAAAAAAAAAAAATCTAGGAACAATTATTCAAATATAAAATCAATACTTTATAACAAAATATATAGATTATCGAACACACTATTTAGCGGCATTAAACAAATTGAGGCGATGCTGAACACAGGTTTCACCGATTGAATGCGATTATTTTCGGATCCTCCAATTTTTTTATTGATTTCACAGAATTATAAATCCTTTTCCAGAATTAAAATATTGACAATAACGGACCGCGACTATTACAAATGGATAAAAAAAAACGAACAAAAAAAAGAAAATTATTGGCTTCTATAGTCGACTCGTGACATGTACTGCGTATAAAAGTTTTAGACTTTGTACGTATGATAGAAGTAATAATCGCGGCCATGAAAGGATAATATTATGCTTCACTGATAAACATACGTGCTTTAGTGTAAGAACGGTTGATCCGAAAATAATATTGTATGTATGCGTGCGACATTGATGTGTCGGTGTGGTAAACATCAACACATCAGACGTAAACACATTTACATCAATATCGCACGTACAAATCGTCAAAACAGATGCCACGAAGTTTCGGCCGTCACTTCAGCATCTTTGTCTTAATATCGCAACATTATTTTGTAGTGTATAGGTAATTTTTAATTCATATTCCATAAAATCACTGAGTTTTTTTTCTTAAACATTAATATGAAACCTAATCGAGTCCACGAAAGTTCAAACTAGATAAATTTTTAAAAGTGCGGTCTGAAGCGGATACTTAATAATAATTGCGTGAATCGTTACAATTTCAGATAAAGTTCTGCGCGTCGAATATCGGTCTTGAAATACAGCTCCAAACTGAATCCACACTACGTAATATCACAAATTAAATTTATAAGCAGTAATTAATAATTTTCATAAGGATTCACACTTATTATTAAGTTCCGCTTCAAACCGCATGTGGCCATTTCTAAAAATTTATCTAGTTTTTTTTGCAAAAATGATGGTCGTCATAAAAGATCTTGTAATGCTTGTTTTCATAATTCATTTCACATTCTTGTTCTTCGCAAAGGCATAAATGCAACAATTCCAGTTGATCAAAAGAAAATTTCTCTTCTGCTATCTAATAATGTTTTCTCATAGTTTAATGAGCAAGAATGAAATGAACCGAATAAAAATAGTATAGCAAAATAAATCATCTTATGGCAAATGTATATATTATTCGTAGTCCGCTATAAGAACCATCATGTACACTCCGAAAAGAATAGCAGATATTTCCATGATTGATTGCCAAAGTTTGGTGGCAGTTAAGAGTTCTGGTATTACAGAAACAGTTGCAATGTAAATGAAGCCTCCTGCTGTAAAGGGAAGAATCCATTTTGTTGCAATATCACCTGGAACGCACGAGAGATAAAGTTAAACGGAATACAAACTAAAGTCTGACATGTCTATTTAAATGTGTTGCAATTACACATTTCTTACCCATTCCTTCTGCCAACAAAGAAACGGAAGTTCCTAATAAAGCTCCTACAGCAGTGACCAACTGCAACATCATAGCCTGCGAACAAAATAATAAAATTTTTAAAATTAAAGAATCTTTGCACATTGAACCTTACAAAAAAAAATACTTGTAACAGAAAAGTTAGCAAAATAGATTGCAACTACAGGAATCTTTCATTCATTTCATAATTTAAGCAACCATTTTCAAACAAAAAAAATATGGCTCAAGATATTTGTGTCTGTTTATATTTTACCTTTCTTTTGCTGTATCCACTTTGTATGAGAATGGCAAAATCACCGATTTCATGCGGAATCTCGTGTAACAATATCGTGAATGTCGTTACATAACCAATACTATTTCCAGCCATGTAACTGGCTCCTATAGCCAGACCGTCCGTAAAATTGTGCAGAAAGTCCGCCACCAAGTTCAGATAGCCGGCGATCTTGATGTCGCTTTCAGGTGCTTTGTGTGCCTTGGAAACTGCTTTACCACTGCTCTTCTTCTCCCCTTTCTTCTCCTCTTTCTTCTCCTCTTTCTTTTCCGACGAAATATCTTTTTTCTCTTGAGAATCATGATGGACATGCGAGTGACTGTGACCGCCCTTAATAATGCGTACCGCCTTCTCGACCATTAGAAACACTATTATCCCTAACAATATGGACAAACCGACGGATATGTCATGTTTGTGTCCCGCCTCGTCGTGATGGCTGTGCGAGTGCGCCTCCGACGGAGATCCATGCGAGTGTTCCGGCGGAGATTCGTGCGAGTGGGGCACCATCGCATGTGGAATCAAATGGAGGAACGCATCGCCCAGGAGGCCGCCGGACGCGAAGCTCAGCAGGATCTTGAGCAGCGACTCGCGCTGCTTGGTGTTGTCCAACGGCACGAAGAACAGTATGAAGAAAGGTGCGGCGGATATGAGCAGAGTCGACCCGACGGCCCTTAAAATAATGTCACCGTGATCCCTTCGCGAAGCTTTTGCCTGCGTCGAGTGCGAGTGCTTGTGATCATGTTGATGATCGTGTGGGTGATCGTGTGGGTGATCGTAATCGTGATGATGGTGATGGGAATTCAAGTAGTTCTCGTTGGCCTCCTTGGAGTACTTGTAGCTCGCCGACTCGTGGACGTCGTGGCCGTCGCAGATCGCCGGCAGATTCAAAACGATGAGCGCGAGGAACGTGGCGACTATCGCCCTGGAGATCCATCTGCGCACGGATGCTCGCCGGTTATCCCCTGTGGTCATCGTGGTCCTCACCGCGATTTCGCTGGCACGATCGAGATGCGTTCGACCGATGTGACGTGGACATGCGTGCCTGGCGGAGGCACGGCGCAGTCAAGATGCGACAAGATCGTGACCAGAACACGTCAGATATAAACCACGTACACCTGATTAACCTCACTCTCGCCGCTCTCACAGCTGCTTCCTGGTCCCTCCACTGCTCCACTCGGCGGGTGAGTTGCCTGCGCTTGCGTGTGTAGATCGCCAATCCCGGGCGCCTCTCGAGATATTTCGCGGTCGCAGATGACGCCACGTGCACGACCGATGTTACTTTTTGTCCGCGAGAGACGACTGAACTCGACGACGAGAACTGGAGTAAGAATTTGGACAAGTTTTGATTGGTCCGTCATATGTTTCAGGACAGCGAAGGAATTTATATTTTATTGTTACTAATTTTACAAGTTTATTTACAATAATAGCGTAAGTCTACTGAACTATTGAATTAAATGTATTTTTTAGCAAAATAAGCTGCACACTTGATAAATTGACTCGAACGGCGCGTGGTTAGGTCGAAAATGGCGGACGGCGATTTAAGGCATTGCAAGACGCATCTACGCTCTTCGTTCTCCACGACTGTGAGTAAAGTTAGGTCGCAAAACTCAAATCCAGTTCAAATTTCTCTCGCGTCCGCAATCGATTAGTAGCTCTTTTCCGCGATTTCTATCCAGGATGTCTCACCACAGCATGAAATCCACCAGTCACGGGTACTGCGAGGCTATCTTCTCGACCTCGCCGAGGAGCTCCAACAAAGAGAACACCGTCCCCACGATAAAAACTACGTAAGACTAGGCTCGCTCGACGGGTTGTTTAACCGTTACAGGATGGGAGGATTGAAAATGATCGTATATGTCATCGAGATAAACATTACGTAGATCACACATTTTTGCCGAATATCGAATAAAATTAATGATTTCCCGTTTTTATTTATGTTATACAAGTCAAATATACATAAATACAATTGAAAACAATAATATAAATACAAAATAAAAAAAATTTTTTTTTAAGCTCAATCTTCTTACCTTTTATCCTCGTCTTATCGTGTTCGTTAAATTAATAGGAAAACTTGCTAAAATAAAATAATGACTTCTATTGCAGAAAGAAAAATTTGTATCCCGCCTTGTCAAATGAGTCGTCTGCTTCGACAAAGGGTCAAGGTACAGGCAAGACGATGCAGTGCCCTTTGCGGAAGGTGTCTTCGAAGCTCGAAATAGCGGAGACCTTAGGGCCACCGAGCAAGTCGACCGACGCGGAATCTGCGTGTCTGAAACCTGCAAACCTGGCGAGGCAGGAAAATACAATCTCCAGTAACGTCACGTCCAACGAAAGAGATCTGAAGACTCCAGTCAAAACGCGACATGTTGGCGGATCGTCCAGCGACAAAGCGTCCGCCGTACAGTTCTACACACCCAAGCACTCGAGAGTGGCGAATACACCCAGCGTCAACGGCAAAATCAGTGCTTTATCCAGCTCGAGAACGCCCATGAAGCGTTACTTCAGCGATCACGCTCTGTCGCAGAGCACCCCGGACTGCTACAATGCGGTTCACCTGGAAACTCCGTCCCAAAAAATCGACGATTTAGTGGTGGGAGAGCAGACGATGTACGAGGGTGAAAGTAGCAATCTCACGGTTGGAATACGCATCAGACCCTTAAATGCCAAGTAAGATTAAACTGTTACTGTAAATTTTTACATTTACCTCTTTTTCCCTATTTTCTATTTTCATTCTATACTGTTATTTTATTGCTCACTTGTAATTTCAGAGAACTGAACGATCCGAAGGTCACGTCAGTCGTGCAAGGAAATGGTCAGAACGTCATTGTGGAATGCGAATCCGCACATCACACTTTCATGTACGACCACTGCTTCGTTTCGCACGACGACCCGCTTACACCCGGTCACGCCAGCCAGGAGGTCGTCTTTCGCAGTATGGTGTTACCGTTGGTGCAAAACGCTTTCGAGGGTTACAACGTCTGCCTGTTCGCGTACGGACAGACGGGGTCTGGAAAGAGTTACAGTTTAATGGGCACGGAATCCGCGCAGCTGAGCGCGTCGCCGTTCGACGAGAGAGTCGGTATCATACCGAGGTTTTGCCAGGAGATATTCACACAAACGCGTGACAATCCGCAGGTCGAGACTACCGTAGAAATCAGCTATTTCGAGATATACAATGAAAAGATACATGATCTCCTGGCGAATACAAATAACGGAACGAAGAAGGCTCCCCTCAAAGTGAGGGAGCATCCTGTCTTCGGTCCCTACGTCGTAGACTTGAGCCAGCATTGTGTGCAGAATTACAAAGACTTGCAGGTACTTTTCTAGTTTCACAGTAGGATTGCAATTGTTTTTTTATTGTATATTTATCCCTTTGTTAACGCAATCATTTTAGGCTTGGCTTAAAGTGGGAAACTCGCAGAGAGCCACGGCCGCGACTGGTATGAACGAGAAGAGCTCGCGGTCGCACAGCATTTTCAGCGTTGTACTAACTCAGACGCATTTGGATGGTCAGTTGGATTGCGAGCCACTCGATGCCAATCGTCGTAGTAAAATTAATTTGGTCGACTTGGCCGGCAGCGAGAGATTGAGCCAAACTTCTGCAACTGGTGATAGATTAAGAGTTAGTTTCTGACGTGACAAATCTATCTAAAATATGCATTGAATAATCGATAATATTGTGTAATGTATGTCGATTTGTTCAACAGGAGGGCGTATCTATCAACAAATCTTTACTTACCTTGGGCAAGGTAATTGCGTCACTCACGGAGAATACAAACAATCGCAAACAGGGTTTTGTGCCGTATCGTGAATCAGTATTGACGTGGCTGCTGAAGGTAAGTACTATTTTTGTAGTTTATTTGCGTATATTTCGAATTAGCGAAAACGCGAAAATTACTACCAATAAGCACATTCTTTTGAAAATTGAGAGTCTGAAAATACCTTTGAATGGATATAAACGAGGAGGTATAAACTTACTTCGTCACAATCCGGACATGATCTAGTTTGTTATAGAATACTGTTTTAATACTTCTTCATGCACTTTGTGATGACGTGAAATGGCAATCAGATCTGATTGCTGCCTGTATAGATAAATTTAGATCATCTTGAGATATGACATATATATTTTTCTAATGGGGAGGAACGAAAAAGATTTATCAGGATTATATTATAAAGACAGAATAATTTTAAAAAATAGACATCTGTATGCATACTTCAAATTATTATTATCACTAATATCTTATAATTTTTACTTAATATTTGCAAGTAACTGTAATGTTATTTCAATTATGCAAGTGTGTATAAACGCTTGTAGTTTGTTACATCTGATCATACAAATAACTAAAATACATACCTTAAGAAATAATTGTTACATCATAAGTAAAAAATAACTGCAGGTAAAATAAAAGCGTATCGATTTAATTCCAACCCGGCGGAGTTTCCTCCATCTTTATAATAAAAAAAATTAAAATCTTATTTCTCAGAACTAAGCACATCATACGTTATTGCTTGTTAATATAACATGTTAATATAACGACAATATTGTATACCTAAATTAACTTATTTCGCTACACTTGTGTAATAATACAAAATTACAGTTATTATATAACTGTATTCAGTCTTATAGAGCAGTTAATTTGTGAGGTTTTTGTATTGTAATTAACTTCGTTGAAGTTTCAAATTAATTTTACTGTATCGAAATTACTAAAACGCGCGATTCTAATATATTTTCCCTTATTGTCTCAAACAGCTGATTTTAAAATCACAATTGATTATAATGATATTTTCTCTCCTTTTTTTTTGCTTTGTCAATAGTACAAATCTGATTCGTGCAAGCATCGATACGATTTTCAAAATTTGATCACAAACTATAAGAGAATTGACATTTGTAGGAGCGTATTTACATTCATATTTACACGAATATTCGTTGAACGAATTTTGTTTTACATGAATATAATGTGTAATCGAAAGAATGTATGGAGCAGAATGATAAAATATTTCTGTGTTTACACTATACTTCGATATAAATCTTAATTCAATTCTATCTTGTTTGGGGAATTTATTTGACTCACACCTGCTTTTGAGGGGTGTAACATCTAGTCAGTTCCAATTCATATCTAATTTGTACGTGTAATTAATTTTTTTTTAAAATAACATTGCACATATACGTGCTGTAAATTGTAAAAGAAAAGGTTTCAAGAATCAATTCTGTTTTATCGTACTATAACGTATTCTCAGAAACAGGTGAATTCAATGAAAGATTCTTAAACGTAAGATCAGTATTCGCTTAGTTAAAACTAATTCGCGTATTTACATCTGCTTATCGTTAGACTTATCGTGACGCTTTTAAAATTAATATTGTCGTGATCATTATGCATAATACCGAAAAGCTATGATTTCTCTGCACCGCGTGACGATTTCGCCGATTTATTTCGCTCGGCATCTCCGGCTTTTCTCTCATTGTACATTGCGTCGTTCTCCTCTTCTTCCTCGTTGATCCCTTCGTGACAGGAATCGCTTCGTGATTTACTTCTTATGTAAACCGCCAGGTTTCTCCTTTTCATTTCTTTGCACAAATGGCAGTTTTCTTTGGATTGTTGCTGCACGGCTCGTTGGTTTTCCACCGATTTTCCTATAAACAATAACGCGAAATCGATTGATGAGAAGAGAAAAAGAGTAGAGAATCCAATTTTTTTCAACGACTGAGATAAATATCTCTCCGTCTCATTGTTTTTTATTCAATACGCGTATCTACTTAATAGAAATTTCAAACGTTTTCGTTCTGTCGATAGAAATTCTATGTCGCATTTTACAAGTTATATAAAACTTGCCGGTTAAACCGGTTTATTTGTTCTTTGGTATACCGGTTTCGAGTCTGCTAATGCGAATATTTTACGACGTGATACTTTTCTCGATAAGTCAAGGCATATATGGTGCAGTTCGTGAGTGGTAAAAACTCAAAGTATTTTTCGGCGAAAATCTGCCTGACGTTCCCCAATCAAAGAATTAGAATGCAGTCGATGCAGATGTATTTATACTAAAATATTAAACGTTCATTAAAATAATTATATCCTAATGAATAAAAAAATAGAATAAGTCTTCTGCAATTGATATTTATATTTCATATATAAATTTTATATTTAATAAAATATAACGACTAACGGACTCAAAATTATTATATTTGTTATTAAACATTGACAAATTTTTAATTGCTCATTTGAGATGACAGTCATTCTGCTTCACTCAATCGTACTATGCGCGCCGTTTGCAAACTTAGAAAGGTCAACTAGTGCTATATGCAACTGATAGGTATCGCTAGCAAATAAATGAAATTTTTAGTTCGTTAAATGTAATTAGTTTTCCCGCTAAATCGACGAAACGCATCGGTATCGTAGCGCCGGTGACCGCCACGGCATTCAACGTGTCGATTGAAGAAAAAACGAGAATGGAAAAAAAATCTTGACGTACGATCTTGAACGCGTTCACCTGTGGCGCCAGTTAATTATATATACCTCAGCTCGTGGTGAGTCACGGAAATCGTGTCGTTTCACCTCGCGGCTATTGAGACACTCGGGAACGCGCAATAATCTCCGGAATACATCGCATCGCTGACGGATCGTAATTATACTTAAACGGATGATTAATCCGGCAGGAACGAACCGGCCGCCTGGAAGAGGCGGAATATGCGTTTCAAAATTCGTCTCTCTCCCCTCGAGGGAGAACAGAGCTTCTCTTTAAAGTCCGATTGACGCTATTGATATTGAAATTCAAATTAAAGCTTCGCACGATCAATAATTGAGCCGAGTGCCACCGCGGCGAGATTTGAATATCGAAAACAGTCCGCTGATTGATAAGGAGAGATGCTGCGGCTCTTGAAACGCGATTCGGGTCATGTAGCGCGCGGCCGCCTAAAGGAATGGGCTAAAAATAGTGTGTATCAACAGTGTGTATCACAGAAACGTAGTTTCTGTACGCGTGACGGACACTCGGAACAAACCGAAATGGGATAACGTGCGAATTGTTCGACCGTCGCTATTCATATTTCGAGACGCATCTTGAATTTTTCCCTCGAATTAATATCGAATTAAATTCTCTCGCGAGAGAGAATTTAATTCAATGCTTCAATTTTACTGGAGAATCTGTCATTTCTCGGAGTATCTCGAATGTCAGATCTTACGTAATCGATAGTATAGCGCCGATAAGGCACGTGCGATAATAAACGCGCGCGTATCCATCATCTTTGCGACGTAATCAACCATTGAGCTTTAATCGATGCACTTCTCTTCCCCCCCCCCCCCAATCGAAAGAGCGTAACGATACAACTTTCAATAAAGTGTCCGATTTTATCTGATATACTGCAAGTCTTATCTCCCAAATACGATAACATGCAGCACTTTTTTTTATTGTTTATCCACATTAAGATCGGAGCCGTTAATACCAGGTCGCAATAAACGCGCGTATCGTTACAATATAGTCGCTTGACGACGTAAAACAAGGGACGGAAGATGTGAGGAATATCGAGATATGTATATGCGCATTTCGCAAATAAACATTCCGTGCCAGTGATTTGTATAATTATGTAACTCTCTTATCTCGTTACGACGACGTAAACAGAGAGGTCGATTTGCATGAGCAAATATACGGTAACACGTGTCTATTTTTTTTTATGCGAAAAGACGTATTTTCTTCTTCTTTTTTACTTTTAATCATCAATATCATCGATAGCATAAGTTGTATCTTGAAGTCGTTTCTAAAAGTGAATAATTATAGCTGAACAAATGCGTTCCAATCGCAAGCGCGTGGATTCGTGATAACGTAATTGTTTTCCTGCGCGACTACACGGGATATATTTAGATTATAGCGGTTAATATATGATAATATATGATAATATATGATAAGAAGATTCACATTGCATTGACTATTCGTGCCGCTACATTTGGCGTTTTTTTTTTCTTTTGAAACGAGAATGCATTAGCGGGGTGCTGGCGTGGATGATATTTTAACATTGCAAGTGAAAAGAGTGCAGAAGGGAAGGGGGGGAGGGGGGATGCGCATAATACAATATGTGTGCAATATATTTTAGTATATTTAATCTACCTGTCAGATATGACTGATACAAATGCCTGATTATACGCGATGATGTATCGTATTTAAATCGTAACGAAAAAATACGACGTAAATTTGCAAGGGTCTTTTCTGCACTTATCATCAATTGCTTTGTGTAATTTTATTACAGTAATCTCTCTTCCCCGGGAAACTCTTTCTATTAAAATATATATAAAATTGTGATTTTTTAGTAACATTTTTTTTAAATTTACCTTACGCCTTAATAGAGTTGCATACACGGAATTATTATTTTTATTTAAAACGTGTGGTTTATCTATAATTTTTATGTATCATATTATTGCGTGCTTCGGATATATCTCGCGGCGTAAAATATGACGTCTCTGCTTCACAAAACCTCTGTTGTCCGCAAGTTTTCCACGATAATTATCACTTTGTACGTGGATATCGATAATGAGACTCGATAACGAGAAGTGTTGTAATTTTTTTTTTTTTTTTTTTTCCGGTATTTATCATTGCAGTAATTTTCCAATATTTTTTGCACATCTCGAAAGACTAATGTACTTTTTCCTCTTCCTCAATCTTGTATTTATTTGATATCTGATTTTTTCATCGATAAAACTTGTCTTCATCAGTTATGAAGAAAAGAATGTCAATAGGAAGGAAAGAGGAAAGGAGATGGTATCGTAAAACTTGTCACAGAATAGCTTCCATTGCAACACTTCTGCAAGCGTAACAAGTAATTTTGGAAAATTGTACTTTTATAATTGCAATATGTTTTTATTGTTGCTGCCGGTGTGTTGACGTGTTTATGTGCGACTACTTCCTCATTCAAGCAACAAACAGATCCCCCTCCTCCACTGTATCACAGACAAGCTACGGACGAATATAACTTGTTTGCGTATTATAACTGCGCGGCTAACAACCGCGAGGAACAAACAATTACGGTTCTCGCAATTTCCACGCAATGTATGATAGAAGTATTTGCAATTTCCGCTTGGAAAATTACATTCCAATTGCAGCCGTCACAATTTTCCTACGCGGTCAGACAAATTTTCTCAGTCGCTTAAAAGCTTAATAGCTTATTTTTCACCTTGACTGATGCTTTACTTTAATCTTTATTGCCTGGCTTTATTATTATCGTTTTATTATTGTACTATCAACATACAGGTATTAATATTCGGATTATTTTAATACCTATATATGTATTTTGTGTTCTTCGAGGCTATATATATATATATATATATATATATATATATATATAAAACCTGATAATTCGTAAATTTATAGTCTCGAAGAACACAAAATACATATATAGGTATTAAAATAATCCGAATATTAATACCTGCATGTTGACAGCACAAGACAGAATAAAATATATATATATATATAGAACCTGATAATTATATATACAGAATTTGTGATAATCCATAAATTTAAATGAAATAAGCAATAAAATGAGGCTTTCTCTCTCGTATTTTTCTCTTGCACCGACCATGTAAGGTGATGCCGGTGCCTATCGGTTGAGGCACTTTCCCTATTCGCGTGGACGGTTTAATGGGAGAATATTTTTTTTAAAATTAGAATTTTTCGGTGGAAATTAAGTGGGCCGGTAGTGACAAACGGATTATGAAAAAATATCTCCGTTGTGGCGTTTGTGACTAGCTGGAGATCGATTTCTCGAAGACTCGAGTGAATAAATGAAAGAAATTGTGCATTCGTAATGAATTCGGTTAACGGATGGATGAGTACCCAAATACCGACCCAGACTTGACGGAATTAAAATCAGAGATAAGATACGTTTCTTTCTGCACTGAAGAGGCGCGAAGAAATATTATCTCGAGACAATTTGCCAACTCCTCGTCCTCGTGATTTTTTTCTGGCCGAAAATGCGATTTATCTCGGACGATTTATTTTCGCGATTTCGTGATTAAAAGTGCGCACATGGAAACAAATTTTGGAAAAACATTGGAAACGGACAGTTTCGTTTGTCAATTGAATTAACATTATAATTGCTCGTAAGATTGTATTTCAGCGTTATTTGTTTACGATGGAAAATTGTTCCGTGTGCTGCTTGCGGAGCCCGCGGCGAGCAAACATTGCTAATTATCATTGCGGCACATCTGCCGCATATTTACGAAATTATACATCATTGAGAAAGTGGAGTCTTTATGCAGTAAAATTTAATTCATTTTGTGAACGCTTAAATAATGCGTAATCAAATTTTTCATGGTAAAAATTTTAAGTAGTACCAGTTTTAATTGATCTTTTAATTTTTATTAGACATCTCGGTATTTATGATCTTTAATCGAAATTTTGCTACGAATTAAAGAGAACGATTTTTTTGAAATTCTTGAAATTCAAGGATTTTTAAATCTAGACATTTATATAGAATTTTTATATCTGTTAGCCATCCCGACACACCAGAGCATCGATCATGTAACTTTTTCGCTAGGGCGGAAACGTAAAAAATGAAAAATTTCTCCATTAACTTCAACGGTGAAAATCTTCACTTTTCACGTTTCCGCCCAGAGGAAAAAATTACATAATCGATACTCAGGATACCAATCAAGTAACTTTCCCCAGGACGAACACGTGAAAAGTGAAAATTTCTTCATTAACTTCAACGAGAAAAATTTTCACTTTTTACGTTTCCGCCTTGGGGAAAAAAGTTACATGATCGATATTCTGACTCGCGAAGAATCATTCGTTTTTCAATCTTTTCAAATTTGAAAAACATCAACATTTTTATTTAAAAAAAAATGGCCACGACCCTTCTGCATACAATATGTTCATTCAAAGAAACGCGTTTGCGACGAGTATACGTATACATACATATCATCAGAAGAAGCTTATCGCTCACTGCAAATACTACTTAATACATAGCTAATGCAATTGTCGTTTCTTATCAATTAACAATGTCGTTGTCAAGGTCATGTAATTTTAGAAAATGTGTCAGTTTTCGTAATGATTACATTCTACCGTCAGGATGTTTCGTCGAATGTCGAGTCAAGTAAATCCAATTATTAAAGTTTGATAAGTCAACGCGAGGCGAAGCGAGGATTCTAATGCTTACTGCTGCTACTGCCGCACTTGAAGTAGTCCCTGTTCCACGGCTGCTCGTAGTCGCGGTACTGCGGATTCCTCGAGTACCCGTAGGTGAACACCTCCGGTATGTAGACGAGATCCATGGTCCCCTCGTGCGGCGATTCGCGCGTTGGTCGACGTTAAAAAAAATCCAGGGGGAAGGGGGGTTGCAGGGGATTATAATATCGCTCGGCAAAAGTTCTCGTTATAGTGTCTTGCGTGATACGCCGGAGCGTGTCGATCTCCCGGTGACGCTCTCAAACTGCTCCGAAGCTGCGCCGTAGCTGCGGCCGAAGTTGCGCCTCTGATCGAAGGACCGGTTGATAAGTTCGGCGCGTCATGCGTGTCCGTTGCACCCGTTTTGGAGTCGGCGGAAATTCGCAGTTTCCTCTTCCGCGGGAGAGAAAAGAAAAATGAAGAAAGCTGTTCCAGACGCGCGTACTCTCGTCGCCGATGGCTCTCTCGCTTTGAACTAACGACGCGTGCACGCTAACGCGCCGTAATGTTTATCTGTTGAGTCTTTCCCCACTCCGCTTCACCGGTTTTCCGTCCGTCCTCCCTTTTACCGCTTCTTCCGTTCGACACATCTTCCTCCCCTCCCCTCCCCCCCTGCCCCCTGCTCTCTCTTTCCCCCCGTCCTTCGGGACGCTTATGCTCGCGTTTACGTTCCTCGGTGCCCCACCTTCCGCTTCGCCAATCACCTTCGCCGTTCCGACGTAGAATTTGCGCGACGCGCAAAAGGTAACGACACGCGTGACGAGGAGAACCGCATGCGTGCGTGCGTGTTTGCGTTGCGTACGTCGTGCGTTTTCGTGCGTGCGCACATGCGCGCTTACGCGCAAGCGTGCGTACGTGCGTATCAACGCGTGCGCGCTCTCGCGCCCCGGAGTATAGCCTCGTTCCTGTTTTCATCGTTTTAATTATTTTGAAAAACATTTTTTTTTTTACAGTTGCAAGTTGATAAGATAATGCAGTTTTCGATCGTCGGAAATATATGAAATCGCATCAGTTTGCTGCTATAATTATCACAGGCGGTATTTTTGAAGGCACCGATGAAAATATAAATCGTTATCTTCTTCCTTTTTTTATCATTTTTACTATAAAATATATGATATTAATAGATTAATATTATTAAAATATAATGATTGTTTAATGTTATTAAAGTATAATTATAGATTATTATGACATTTAATTAAGTCCCTTTCGTCCTACTTTAATGAAAACAATTTCTTCTGAAGATTCCATTATCATAAATTTCTTTATCTGAAAGGTATTGGTACTTTGAGTTTGCTGTATTTTAAAACTTAAGTAATTTCCTGTTTTCTGACGTCCTTAGCTTACATGACTACGTTTATATTTACATATTTTCGACAAAATATAAATATAAATGAGAGATAACATGAAAAAAATTAAACAGTAGTCTTAGGACTTCGTTAATGAGTCTCTTTGTACATTGTTTTTCTTTCAACAGTTTCAATATGCGAAAAAAAAGAACATTCCATTCTGCTGACTTTGTATTACTTCTTTCTGCGACTGATTCACATTTTGCGCATGAACAATTACGATCGCAAATAATTATGTAGCCATCGAAGTGTATCGCGGTGAGGTATCTGTGAAATATCCAATTAAAAATATTCTTCTTTTTATTATTTTAACAGATTCATTCTTTGTTGCATGTAAACAACATTTTGTTAAGATCTGCAGATACGCAGATAAACTCACAGTGACAGATCGTACTGTACATGTATGTATCACAATAATGATCGAGCTTTATGATTAAACGTACTTAGTCGCCAATCGATTCTTACTCTCGTGATATTTTTATGATACTTATCAAAAATCACCGCGCGTTTTGGGCAGATTAACGAAACTATAGATAGTTCGAAAACTGCACTACTACTTTTATTTCTCGATTTCTTCACTTTTAAAGCATTATTTTATCAATTTATTTCGCGTATAAGAAATAAAAGCTTATCAATTTATTTTGACACAAATAGATCGTACGCAGGAATCTTTGCTATTAAAAATACTTTATCTAAACACTTAATTCCCTCTACTTCAATATCTCCGATATGAATCGCTTATTCATAATTAACATTATAAATAAAATAAAAATTAATAAGATATAATATATATATATATATAATATTTTTCAAGTTTATTTGAAAATAATATCCTCTTCGCATAAATTTTTGTCGTTAAACATTTTCTTAATTACACGTGCACAAATGGAATTTTTAAGACCATCATAAATTCACTACCTTTTAAGATAACAGTCCTGCGATATTAGTATTAGCAACACGAGCAGGAAAAATTTCAATTACATAAGCACACATATTATTTGTTTCAATAATTCCCATGCTATAATTCGTAATTATTATACAATCAAATATTTGGGGCGTCAAAGTTTGTAGTTCAAAATTGTTCTTTCCTCATATACGTTTTAAAATTCTTAATTGATTTATATTTGTGTTGAGTTATTTAAATATTCCTTATTTATTTGCGAGCTGATGAGGACAGAGCTATGAATTGCGAGGTAGAAAATTGAAATTCAAAAGATCGGAATTAAAAATTGAGAGTCTCTAAGATTATCTTAACAATTACAAAAACAAGAAGTAATAAAACGGGGCTTTACCTCTTGAAATCTTATCCCTTATTTACTGATGATACTTAAGGAGACAATACGCCGTTGATGGATGGCAACGTGAGACGATAACGATATCGGATTGAATTCGCGAATGATTAGATTTGTCGCTTTCGTCGTTTGATACGAGACGTGATAGGGGATGTACATACCTTATACCCGTAAACGAATTATGTAATGACAAAGAATAAACTAAAACGTTATGTAAAGAGCAAAGAAATTAAAATATTATGTAAAGAACAAACGAATGTTTTTTTTTCCAGGAGAGCCTAGGAGGAAATTCACGAACGGCGATGCTGGGAACGGTGTCACCGGCCAACATCCACGTGGAGGAGACCCTAGCGACCCTTCGATACGCGTGCCAGGTTCGAGCTATAGTCAATCGAATCCGCATCAACGAAGATCCGCACGATCGGCTAATTCGGTAAAATATCTCATTGAGATTTAATTTTTAATTCAATAGAGGTTCCACGTTCTTGAATTACGCTATGCAAAATTGTCACAAATATGTTGGAGGAAAATTTATTATACAAAAGGATTGAAATCTCATTATCCTAATTAACGAAAAATTTAATGATTTATTTTAATAGCGAATTAAAGGCCGAAGTACTACGTTTACGCGGGGTGCGCGAGGGATATGAGAAGCAATGTGGAGTTATTCCTCGTCAGTTACTCCGTCGCATCGACTCGAGCGACCAGTGGGGTAAGAATGTCATCCAACAGCAAAAGGAAATTGATGAACTGAAAGATCAATTGAAAAAAACGGAAGAGCAATTGGCTGTTACTCAGATGTAAGTGAGATAATTTGGTCTTTTATATGTAAGATAAAAAAAATATTGAACGAGATAATAATATATAAGTCACTTGTTGTATGTTGTTACATCTTTAATTAAAAATTATCGATTATCTTTTTATTTGTCCATGAAAAAACAATTTCAATGTGACATGATAATATTTTGTAAACTTTTGAATTCAACCGAAGATATTGTAATTGTATTGTTGAAATGTGATTTTCAATGTGATAATATGTTTTATTCTCAACCTGTTTTATTATTCTTTAACACGTTCGCTGCCCATTTGAAAGGACATATTATTTCTGGAAATTACTTTCACAATTATTTTCTTTTTTTTGTGAAGTTTCACATTCAAAGTTCGATTGGCTTGTTCGCCTCAACTAAACATAGATCCATCACGCGCTGATGCGTTAACCGGCTATTTGCGAAGGAGCCTCATTACGCGCTAGCGCGTGATGGGTAGCAAACGTGTTAAGAGCTGAAAATTAAAATTTAATCTTATTCTTGTAATAAAATTTATTATTGAAGAGTTGCAGGATTAATATGATCTCGCAAATGAAGCTAGTTTTTGCGAGTGCGTTAAACGATGTTCATTGAGTTTCGCAAATGTGACTAGCGATTTTTGCGACTTAAGTTGAATCGGTAAGACTTAATCCGTTAGCCACGTGTAATTGCAGGAGTTCGCGCGAAAAATTAGAAAGAGCCGAGGAGAAGAAAAGCTCGGAGCTCAAATATTTGCGCCGTTGCGGAATCGCCATCGAGCTTGATTTCCAAGAACGAGATAAGCATCCTTGTCTCGTAAATCTCGCTGCCGATCCTTTGTTATCCGGTACACTTTTGTATCTCATACCTCCAGGTTTGGTTCGTATCGGGAAGAATATCTCGACGTGCAAACTCGGAGCCGCTTTCAAAGAACTGGATATCATATTGGACGGACCTCTTGTTAGGGAATTGCACTGGTTAGTCATGAATTGCGTGTGTGTGTGCGTGTGTTTTTTCATATTCAAGCAAAGTAGAAAACAGGGAGAGGGAGAAAGAGAGAATGGATCGGTGTGGGAGAAGAGGAGAGATGTTCTAATGTCGATGCTGAATTTTTTCTTCTGTCAAATGTATTTTCGATGTGCCATGAATATGTTCTCTGTTTCGTACGAGCAGCTTCGAAAGTTTCCCGGAATTTCTGAGAAATATAAAATTGTAAATAATTTAGTCTCCTATAAACTAATATTTTTTAACAATTACACGATGCTGATCAGCGATTGTAAAGCTGGACGTCTTTCTACAAAAATATGTGTTAAGGTCTTTCAAGTTTTTATATTTGCGATATCAATGTCAACGGTATCATAAAAGTCCTGTCCTTTCACAATGAAGGCCAGACGTCAGTTTACTTCTTCGCTTGCAACATGATTGATATCTCTGTAAATTTTTGCTGCAAAATACAAAATTTCATGTTTGTACACTTGCTAAAATTATAGACATTTTTCAATCTCGACGCGATATCACGCACGTTAAAAGAATAAACATCTCATATTCGTTCATTAGAGCTTATGAGATATGAATCTTTCTCTCATTTCCTCGCAATTTCTGCAAATTATAGCAGCTAATTCCGGGAACTTATCGAAGTTATCACGTATTTCTATTTATCAGCACGCTTTGCATCGTTTGTCTCTTATGATGAATCCAATTGTTTCTGATTCTAATGCATGTTGCTATTGTTCACAACTAATCGGATAATAACGCAATTATTGATCTGTATAAATTATTTTACCCATTAGATGGATTGTGGCAGACGTGAAACGGATTTAGTGTTTTTTATAATTTTATGAATCTTGTCAATTTTCTGTGTGACGTTCATTTTATTTATAATTAAACTTTATCATATTCATGTCGGTGTCGTGTCAATATTATGTTGCATTATACAGGTCTCATCTTTATTCATGAAGTTGCTGTGAATAAATTGGAATTTTCGAACAAGTAGGGAACCTGCGACGCAATATTTAAATTTCTGTTTGTAGCTAATAAATATACAATGAATTGTAGTTTTTTTCGCAACTAAATGCATTTACGTCAATGCGTTTGTGCCATTTGGTTAAAAATTAAGTACCAAGTATTCACTAAGTTTCACCGAAGTGCTTATTTTAACTTTCTGCTGAATACTCGTATCCTGTTACATAAATGACTAACATTTTTAATTTCTCACATATTATTAATTAAAATATTGTACACGATCGTTTGCCATATCTTTTCTTTTTTCCTAGCTCCATTGAAAATAACGAGGGAAAATTAATCTTGACACCCGAGAAGGGCGCGGACACTTATGTCAATGGGCAGGTAATGATGACGAGTTAATTGTTAATAATAAAAAATAAAGAATTTGTTAAATAAAAATATTTTTACTTCTTTTCAGATGGTAACCGGGAAAGTTGTGCTCAAACACGGTGATCGCTTAGTCATTGGCGGTAATCACTATTTTAAAGTTTTAAATCCATATGACGAATCCTACAATGTTAAGCATTCCACACAAGCGATAGATTTTGAATTTGCGCATCAGGAAATTCTCCGAATACAGGAAGAAAAGTAAGTATCATTTATTTAGAACAGTTAGAAACTCTTCGATATAAAATTTCAAGGAGCTAATTTTTTAACCAAAATGCGGTTATTACAAAAATATTTCATAGCGCTAGTAATAAGACAGTAAATTCATTTGCTATTGAGAAGAAGCTAATCGAAGTATTTTGCGAATTATTTTGCACTCGCTATCTCTATAATGACGTAAATAGTTTCATATGACTGTCATTAGCATAAATACTTGTATATTTAAATTGCACGTTCCGTAATTTTCTGCGATAAATACTATCGGCAGCACTTATCACAAGTATTCATTTGTCAATTTTTTAAATAGTTTTTTTTTTTCGTTTTCATCGCCATTTAGATTAAGAGCAGAATTGGAAGAGTCGAAGCAGAAAGCGATAAAGGAACTCGAAAATGCTAAGCGCGAAGTGGAATTGCAACTCGGTTCGCAAAAATCGTCGTACGAGCGAGAGATCGAAGTTCTTGGTTCCACGCTGAAGGAACAAAACCAGGCACTCGAACAAATCAATCGTAGAAAAAAGGAGCTGGAAATGGAAAAGGAATTGCTCGTCAAGGAGGTGGAAGTCAATAATAAGATTAAGAAGATACGGTTGGAACAGAGTCACGCGAAATTATCACCGTACAAATCGAATTTCCTGCAAGAACTTGAGAGTATTTTGAATGAGAAAACTGCGGACATTGAGAATGTGCTAAAGGCGAAGCTTAACGGGGAAACGATAACCGCCGGTGGAATTAGTCTACACGAAATGCAAATACTCGTCAAGGAAGCGACTCAGCGATGTCAAGAAGTCGGATATCGTTACGTGAGTATTTTGTAATAATTATGACATAATGAATTGTTTAGAATCATTATACAACCGGAAATTTTTTTATGAAAAAAAAAAAGAGTAAGAAATATAGAATCTTTTTTTTTAATTGTTCGTGTCCTTGAAAAATTATTTTATACTATATATAATCTTTGTGTCAAGTATAAGAGTTTATTTTTGTAACGCGGTTATGATACGAGGCACTGCTATCGTTGTTGATTTAACTCTTTCAAAATAGTAAGATACCCTCGCGAACACAAATATATTTATGGCAATAATATTTCAACTGCAGCAGTTGTTATAAAAAAATTGTATTTTATTCAACGTACAAGTTTAATATTGTAGTCGAATGGGCACATTATTTTTATATATAGAACTATTTTTTTTTTTAATTTTGCACATCAAGATTCTATATTTCTTCCTTTTCTTTAACACGAGGAATTATCTCGCCGGTTGTAACATTATTCATTGTATATACACAATTTCTCTAAATTTTTCATGGCATTCCAGGAATTTGAACAACAACAAACGGTAGTGGATAAGAATTTGCAGTCGGTGATTCGCGTTCGTGATAGAAACGTCTCGAGGGAAACGCTGTGGCAAGCGACGGACTTCCTGGATTGGGTTTATCGTCTGAGAAACGGCGATGTAGAAGATTCGATAAGAGAACTGCAGAGTATCGAGTTGAACTGGGAGTTAGACGGAAGTAAAAGTACCGAAATATTTGAAGATTCTTTAAACAACAGCAGGATCTCGATAAACATGACCCCCGTGAAGAGACAGCTGAACAAGAGTGTCCACCAGTTCTCGATGGACGCGTCGATGCTGGAAGCGACGATAAACGATACATGCGTAACACATAATCAACAGGAGGACGTAAATGCGTGCCTCACTCAAATCGAAGTCGCCGCGAAAACGTTGAACAAGCTGTGCCACCGATATCAGAGCCACGACTCCAAGCCGGTCGTTGAATCGTTGGCCAAGATGCAAGATATTATTGAGTCCTTAAAAAATATCTTCCAGAACAAAGATTCGAGTGAGTGCGAGGATACGAGTGTAAATTCAATTAACAGTGCCAATAATACCGTTATCGATATGTCGAATGACATAAGGAAGATCTTTCAAAACACGGATACAAACGAACGAGGCAAAGAAAAAGATGCTACGATAAACGGTATTAGTAATGGCGTAGATAAGCTTGCAATAACAGGTAATACTGAAAATTGCCTCAGTCACGATATATCGCCGAAGAAATCTAATATGCGGAATAATATGTTAGATACGAAAGCTGGAAGCGCTCAAAAGAACGTAAGATTTACTGATAAAATCAAACAATAAAACTCGAAAACACAAATAGCTTTATGCTTGAAAATACTATTTTTTAAACAAACTTCTATTGTTATGAGTTATCATTTTAAAAATATAAGAGACATGTATATTGTATTGATTTTATATATATATATATATATATATATATATATATATATATCACAGATTTAAATTTATGCAATACTTCATTAATTTATATATTTTAACACATTTTATAAGTCATTTTATTGGAACGCGCTTTTATGGGTTTTCATTTTTTTTATCATTTTGATTACACCGGCACACAAAAAAAAAAAGTGGTTTGTGCATTTGACCGGACCCATCTACGGACATGTTTTTCGACCCGCTGAATCCGAATTTGAGGTCCGTTGGGCTCGGTCAGGTCCCAGATTTTAGTAAAATGCAAAAAACTCCCAAAAATATGAAAAACTGCATTACAGCGATGAAAAAATTTTTGTGACT